ACACACACATATTATATATATATATATATATAATCTTCATAAATTTTCTTTTATATATTGTGTATATGTTTTATAAAAAAAAGTCCAGAAAATATAAAGAAAACTGTCAAACAAAAGAAAGTAATTTCAAATTGTTTTAATTTTGTAAGTTGCTTTAGAACTCATAATCAAATAACAATATAATAAATATTTTTTATTATTTTATATACATATATTATAAAGAATATATATACACACACACGCGCACGCGCGTTATTAAAATAAAAGAAATAAATGATTCCATCAAGATAGAAAGAAAGAATAGGAAAATATTTATTTATAAACAATATTAAATTTTGAAGACCGCGCGTCAACGTAACTAATACGAATACAAAGCTTATAACAATCTAGCTGGATCTTATATAATTGCTTTTATATATAATTTCGCGTGAATTTATATACTGATATATGTAGTCTTTCTAAACAGCGCGCCGAACAATTGTCTTGAAACAACACAACTCTAATAAATTACCGCATTACTATTACAAATTAAATTGATTAACAATTTAATAATTTCAATTTAATTCGTGATAGTACTATGGTAGTTTATTAGAGTTGAGTTTCAAGACAATTGTTCGGCGCGCAGTTTAAGACTACATATATTAGTATATGTATAAATTCACGCAAAATTATATATAAGCAACTAAGATTCAGCTAGATTGTTATAGACTTCGTATTCGTTATATTTATTTATAAAATACTATTTCACAAAATATCAGATTAAATAAAAATATCTTATATTTAAGACTATATAACAATTAGTTGTATTGGATAATAATTTGAGGGGTCAAAAATAATGTCTTTGCTTTCTCAAATATTCATTCAAGTTATTTATTTCAAAGTTATATTTTAGCTGATTAAATTAATACGCGCTTTTGTTGTATTAATGTGCACAATCATAAACAAACATCAACAGTAATTACTTTAACTTTAGTTTTATACATAAATTAATTCCAAATAAAAAAATGTACAAGACAGACAGTCAATCTGAAAATAATACGGCTATACAGTTGTGGACAAAAGAATTGTCTCTCCTTTTTTTTAATTTCGTCTTTTACAAATATTGTAAAAACGTCTTTATATAACTTTTACGCAATCTAAAACTCGTCAAAGAACAAAAATTGCAATCCTTTTATCCGCAATTTGTTAAAAACAATGAAACTATATATATTACTGTCTTGCATATACAGGGAAAAAAAATTTCATATCTATGTATAGCATATTTATATTCTATATTAATTTGTTTACACTTTATCCAAAGCAACAAAATTATAATTATACACAATAAACACACATCTCTTTCTTCTTTCACATTGAGTCTTAAAACAGAAATATGCTTTTAAGAAATTAAATCGAGAGATTTTGCATTTTTAGGCTTCGGTCCACTTAGCGCTTTAAACGTTACAGAGCATTTATAGCACTGATATGCCTAGTTTGATGCTTCGGAACGCTTCCAGCAAGTCTGATTACGTCATCAATACGTCATCATTTTCGCTGTCTCATCTCGGGAGGTGGGTTAACTGGAGTGTTCATGTAGCAATTGTAGCATTGGGAATAGTAATGAACCAATCCAAGCATAGAATTTGGAGCATAGCATTGAGAGTATTTGGAAGAAGAAAGTGGACCACAGCCTTAATGATAAAACACAGTTGAGTATAGAAAGGACATCAGGAAAGTTTCTCTTTTTCTATTCTTTTTCTTTCAAGAATAATAATAGGTGATATTTTTTTGTATTATTTCCAAACAAATCTCCAATGCATTAAATTGCTTGCTAAATTTGAGTTTTATTACAATATAGCTTTATCATTAGTTTGAAGCTTCTCGCTAATATTGGCCATTTTTCAGTTCGTCAAAGCAGTAATTGATGCTTCTTCTTACAAAAGTTTACTCTTCAATATCTCATAAACCATTTTGTTCCTAAAATACGGCATATCATCTTGAGTGAACGTTATCTTCCTATTTGCACAGACAAATTCGGCAAACATACAAGAGAATACGCCACAATCGCTGCCGTTCATCTGTTGTGGAATGTTCTTGGCTGAATGAAATTTCCATTCGTTCATATCATAAGATTGTTTCTTTTTGTCTAGACTCTCATCCTGTAAATACTGTTTTAGTGATGCTAGACATTTTGGGTTATTGCTGCCCATACTGTCATAATAAGCAATCGATTTATTCCTGAAATCTATTATCGACATACACCAGTGAATGTCCAGATGTATAGGCACAACTACAAGATCCTGTGCGAATATGTCTACTTTTCTGGTCCATCGTTTCAGAGATGAGTGACCACCCGAAAGAAGTTTTGGATAAAAAAATGTGTTCATTGCATGTACTTTTGGATACTTGGCAGAAGACGTGCCTCTGGCAATCAGTAGATTCATGTAGAAATTTATTACTTCATCGTTTAGCCAATTTAAGTCGGCTAACGTGCAAAGGTCCTTCCGCGTGATTCTTAAACCAAAGCCTTCCGCAAGAACTTCGCCTGGAGGATATGGTATGATGGCATTCTTCACTTCTTTCAACATTTCATTGGTCAACGTCGGCAACACTAGTTCTTCCTCCTCTCTATCATCTAGAACAGCCAAGTATAATTTCATAGAACGTGCCAGTTGTTCTTCCAAAGCTGCTTCTCGTGCGTATCTATTGTGCTTTGACAAGACGCAGGTCATCTTCTTTAATTCTTCAGCCTCTCTATGCCGTTGTTCAATCCGTTCGTTGTATCTCTTAGTAACTTGTGGAATAAAGTCTTGTCTCATGATGGGTTTCGCAGCAAGCTCGTCACGTAATGAATTAGTCGCAACAACTTCAATGGGTAACTTTGGTGTAGGTTTCATTAATCCACTGGTACTGGGTCTATCAATTGTAATTACTTTGTTGGATTGCTGATATGTTGTAATACCTTTCTTGGCGTAATTTAAAGTAGGAACTTTTTCTTTATCTGTCCTCGAATAGTTTGACATACAGACTCTATGATGGTATGACATTGGCACCTTAGACAAATTAGTGGTAGATGATTGCATCTTGTTGGATACCATAATTTCCGGTTGCTTTTCTAGATCGATCACTTCTATGGGTTTACGTGCAGGTTTATCCATAAATATTTGTATCCTATTTGGAAACAGATTTTGAAGCATTTCTTCATATTGATATTTCTCTTTTAATTGATTAGTTTTGGATAATGTGGGAGACTTGTGATAGACGTCCGGCATTCTATGTTTGTGATGGAAAAAGTGCTCCATTGGTTTGTGATTGTGATGCATCATAAAACAAGTAGACTTACAAGTGGGAGTTTTGTAATATTCGTAGGATTGCAGTTGCTTCTTATGAGTACCGTTCATCTGTGCACACGGTTTTATCGACGAACATTTCTGCTCACCCATATATACGATATCATCGTCATCACTGTCATCAATGGTAAAATATTGTTCCATTGTATGTGCTATATTACAATTGGATTTAAATTTCTTGGGTGTTATATATTCTTCTTCAAAGTTAAAGTCCTCAGAAGCTTTCCGTTTCTTAGAACCTTCATCTACCCATCCAAAGATCTTCTTCAGAAAATCAAATATCACGGACATTGTTAATACATATATATATCCTGGTCTTATTGTCCATTCAATATGTATTACTAATGTAGCTCAATCTAAAAAATAAAAAATAAGAAATTCTTACATATAATATACTCATTGATATAAACAAAATATCACAAAAATAGAAACTATGTAATAAAGTCAGAGTGTAATCAATAAAGGCATTTTTCATAAAAATTTTTAGTCACACAGCTCTAGCTACACAGCTTTTGTTTTTGATTAATATCAATGAGATACATAAGAAACATACAGGTAACTTTACAAGAGTATCTATGGCTATGTCTCATTTAACGCTCACAATTCTCATAAAATCATTTTATCCTTGTTGTTTATGTTAAACAAGAATAGTGCTTGCAAGCATTAAATGAAACATAGCTTAAAAAATAACGGATGATCACATGAACCTCCAGAGATTAAAATCAACATTTCTACTGGTTATACTAATTATATACCATACTGGAAAAGTTTCGTATTTATTAAAACCGATTCATTCTTTCCTTAAAATTTTGTGTTAATATTTAATATTTCTTAATATCTAAATAATTTATAAACAAATAAGTAAATAAGATTTATTTAAAATATATTTAAAAATTGCAATTCTAAGATAAATGAATAACTAATGCTAATGTTTTGTGAATTTTGCCATTTACTTCATCAGGGCAAGAAGCTCACTGATATAGTATCAGTATACTCCTAGCCCTGATAAAGTAAATGACAAGATTTATGAAACATTGGTATTAGCAATGAATAAAAGCATGGCGATAACCTGTAAACTTTCTTGTATATTTGAAGATAATATCCATTGAAATCTTAAAAGTATAAGTGAATAACATGTGTTAATTTAATTTGTCTTGAATATCAATTTTTTATATATTTTTAATACTTTCTAACATGTTTATCTTATATTAAATTAACACAAATTTTCCAATTATACATGTGAACTACAGATAGCAAGAGCTGTATTCCTTATATTTAACATTAATAATAGCAATAATAATAATAATTATTATTATATGCTTGTCCAATTCAAAGTCTTATAAACTTGAATATTAGAACATATAAATTTAAATTTATTTGAAGCTAAAAATCATAAAACTGTTCAGCAATAAGTATGAAATACAAGGATATTCCTTGACTTGTATCCATACTTGTATATATTTATAATTTTCAAAAGATTGTTAAAATAACTTACATCAGATCCTTTGGAAAAGGAAATTAGACAAAAGTACAAATAAGCAAATGCTCATTTGTATCTTGTTTGATTTCTGTTAAATTTCTTGTTGAGTATATAAGAATTTTTTTTATATTAAGAATCCAACCTAAAAGAAGAAGAATCATGGTTATTATGAAATTAAAACTTATACTGTACAAAATTATTACTAATTGAAATAATTTGCTTGTACTTTCTATACCAATGCATAAAAAAATTACTTATAATTGAAGGAAAATGATATGACTGAAATGAAACATATAATTTTACATTAGAGAAAAAAGAGAAAAAGGAAGGATAAAAAATACTATAGAAATATATATACTCTACAGAAAAACAACTTAGCTATACAACCTTAGATGCAAAATTGTTTAATTATAAAAACATAACAAATATCCTAACTAAAAAAGGCCGACATAAATATCATTGCATTTTAACAAAATATACGTTGAATACATCCCATCGATCAAAGGATATTTGTTATACACTCATACATTTAAATGTTTTTTCAAGTGTAAAAATCTAAAAAGCACCTGAGTAGGATAGCGCAGCAGTCGAATTAATTGTAAATAATACATAATTATATATTTTCGATTATATATATATGTATAGATATATATATATGCGAACGTATACGCATCGGTGTGACGACAAATTTACCTCATTGCGCGCATACGACGCACACCTGTTCCGGTTGATGCTTACTTTCAAGGATTGTGTTGAATTTGCCGTATGTGCGATACAGGGGAAACAAACTGCCATCTTAGACAATCTTGGAAAAAGGGAGACAGGCTTCCTGGCGCCGCCTGGATCTAGACACAGATCTAGGATACCGGAGAATTAAGGCCGCAGCACACACTTTTGCATGACGCATAGGAGAATCAACCAATCAGAGTTCTTCTTTTCCTCCCACTTCACAGAAGGGAAGCATTTTGATTGGTTTATTCTCTTATGCGTCATGCAAATGTGTGTGCTGCAACTTTAGGAGTTGCAAGCTTATTGACTATTGGCTACGCATCACATCTTGCCGCACGGTCGGTAAATGTTTCGCGTTTACCGTGCAGAAGTCATGACGAATGTGCCGGGTGCCCAGCAAGCTTGGCCAATTGTATCTCGTCATCGAGGACGACGAGAACCTGGGCCATTTATGTCAGAAGAAGAAAAAGTTGAAAAATCGCTTGAATAAAGGTAGACCTGTTTCGCCTCGTTTCGATGGTTTCGAGTGTTGCATTATCATTTTTGGAAAGCGTTGCCGGCTTCGACTGTGCCTAGTAAGCTTGGTTAAGTTTACCTCGTAATTGTAGACCGGGCCATTTATATTTTTTATATTAGAAGAAGATGGTTTTCGGAACACACAATTATGTCTCGTAAGTTCGTTCGGTCTATTTCAGTCTATTTTTTTCTGTGTTGATTTTGCATTTTTCGTAATCCTCAAAAAGCCGTCTCGATCTCGGTTGGTTTCGCTATCGCATAGGACTTGTATGGTCTTTATGGTCTCATCAGGTCTCAACTCTCATTGTCTTTTCATTTTAACTTACTCTTGTATTAAAAATAAGATGCGATGAAATATTATCATTGTAAAACTGCAGAATTTTGTGAGAACAATGTAATTACAATTGATTATAGTTTTTAAAAGCTATATGCCATAAGTTTTATTCTAATAAAGTAGTACTTTTGAAATACGATATGGTTCTCTACATTTGAAGTATATGTTTAAACAAATATTTATTATAACGACAAGCAGTTCATATTAGGTTAATTTTTTATTTTGTTCGTCTTAATTTTTTTCTTGCAGCTTGTAAAGAATTTTGTACTTTAAGAGAAATACACTAGAAAAACAAGATAGTCCCATGAATAATAATAAGGAAGGATTTATTGCTGTACATGTTGGTATGTAATTATTTAAGCATTATTTATAATTTATATTTGTATACACATTATAATGTACCATTTCTTTTATTGATAGGTGCTGGGCAGCATTCAGCATCACTCAAAGAAAAATATCAAAAATTATGTCGTGATGCATGCAAAGTTGTAAGATTTTCAAGTAATTTAACGAACTATAATACATATTTAATTTTTTCTAAATTCTATATTTTTCTTATAACTGTATGGTCTCTGTCAGGGAGCTCAAAGTTTAAAATCTAGTAGTAATGTATTGGATGCCGTGGTTGAAGCAGTAATGGTATTGGAAGATTCTCCTATGACAAATGCTGGATTTGGATCAAATCTCACATTGAATGGCACAGTAGAGTGTGACGCTAGTGTAATGGATGGTAGCAGTTTGCAATATGGTGCAGTTGGTGCAGTTAGTGGAATAAAAAATCCTGTCTTATTGGCAAAGCGTTTATGTGAACAGCAGTCCATTAAGTTTGCATATGGCAGAATTCCTCCTAGGTGATACTTTAGTTTTAATATGTTTACAATTATATTAAAATTATTGTTATATTAATTTTTATTCTTTATTAGCTTTTTAGTTGGAAATGGTGCACATATTTGGGCACATGAGATGGGCATACAAATTTTACCACCAGAACAGTTAATATCAAGTATATAAAATTATAACACAAATTTTTAAATCACAGAAATTGATTTATAATTTCTGTATATTATAATATTTATTTTTTATGTGCATTTTCTATTAATTTATCTAATGTATTTTCTAGTGAAAGCTCAAAAGATATATAAGCATTATAAAAGAAAATTAGAAAGCTGTAGTGCAGAAGTCCAAAAGGTATGAAGACGTTATTTTTCATATATATTTTTATTTTATTTTAAGTAAAATTTATTATTTGTTATGCTAATAGTGTGCAAAGAAAAGGATGGACACAGTAGGAGCAATATGTGTTGATAATAGTGGAAATATCGCTGCAGCTTGCTCGAGCGGTGGTATAATTTTAAAATATCCAGGAAGAGTTGGACAGGTATGATTTGTTTATTAATTGTATTATTGTATAACATATTATTAATTGTTTTAATATAAATTTTGTTGCATGTTTTATCATAGTTTATCAAACTTTTTAAATTCTAGGCTGGAGTATGGGGTTGTGGTACCTGGGCTTGCAAAGATACTTCGTATTCAGTAGGCACTAGTACTTCAGGTTGTGGAGAGCATCTTGTGCGCACTTCATTAGCACGTACAGTTGCAGAAGCTATTTCAGACACATCTTGTCCAACTACAAGTTTGCATCGTGCGATGAGCACCGATTTCATCGGTGCGCCACAAATTTAGCATAATTATGATAGCAATAGTGGTGATCAATAAAAGCAATGACAGTCTTTTTATACTTTCTCTCTAGATTCGAAATTTCTCTATGGACTTGAACAAAAGCTTGGAGGTGTCATCGCTGTACGATATTCTCCACAAGAAGGTTTAGGCGATTTTCTCTGGAGCCATTCCACAAATTCTATGATAATAGGTTATATGAATACATGTGAAAGTGCATCAATGGTACATATTACTTTTTTTTGCCTAATATTGTAAAAATATATATATATATACATTAAAAAAATTTTCTTAGAATATTTTAGCCACAATAAATCCAAAATCGAAATTAGAAAGGAATCACCAATTCTTTTAAATTTTGATGTAATCATACATGTTTGATAAATCATTTATGTGATGTCCCTTTATGAATGATAAAGTCACAAAATAAATGAATAACATTAATATTTCTATATATGTGACAGTATTTATTGGTTTATTAGAATACTTGCATATTAAATTGAACTAAAATTAATGATTTAGGCAGTCACTTTCAATATTTTGTTTTTGTTTTATTTAATTTGTTGTATTTTAATGTTTTTTTATATAGAAAAATATATAAGTATATAAAATTTCATATTTAAATGTAACATTTCTAATATAAAATTCATATATTCTATATGTAACTACATTTTTTATAATATTATATATAATTATTGTGATTTTGTTAAAATTCCATGATAGCAACAAATGAATTTTCAGATTTAGAGCACCAACTTTGTATTAAATCACTTTAAAAGTTCAAACAGTGATCATAAAGTTTCAATTCGTAGGCTAATGTTATTAATATAAAATATGAGAGTCAGATTTATTAAAAAAAAATTTTATTTTTGTTTATAGAGTTACATGTCAGCTTTATCACCACATGAAGTAGGTAAGAAAGCTATTGTTGAAGGAGTGTGCTTTAAATTAACAGGATTTGATAAGGTCTGAGAACAATTGTATTAATGAAAAGATTTTTCACAAAAATCAAACAGAAAGTTCAATTTTCAGAAAGCAAAGCTTATCGTGAAATCGTATATTATACAAATATAATAATTTTTATCTAGACATGATTATATAAAATATTAAATAAAACATAAAAGCTATTAAGGTATAAAAATTAACTCTCAGGTCTTGGTTAATATTTTGAAGATTTATTTAAAAGAAATAAAAAATCTTTGAATTTGTTTGATTCTTGCGAAAATTTGGTTTATTACTCATTTATGCTACATTTTACATGTATCCTTTTTATAACATTAATAATAATAAAGATAACGAAAGAAATATCATTTAAAGTATAAAGTAATAATTTCTTCTTTTTATTTACAAAATTTTACAAATTATTAATCTTAACAAAAATATTCTTTACAACTATTAAATTCTTATATTTCTTGATTTTTATTTGATACTTCACATTACTTAATGGAAGAAATTGTATACGATGTGGCTATTAATAAAGATTTTTATGTAAGATATATGTATGTATATATATATATAAAACCATATATATATATATACATAATGAACTTATTTGGTTTTTGTGGAAAATCCTTCAATTATACACATACGTCATTTTAGATGTAATAAGCTTTTATAAAAAATTATAATTTAAAATACTCTATATACAAAATTTTTATACAAAATCATTAATTTAATGAAATATGTCAATGCTGCCAAATTGAATCATTTTCCATAATCATAACTTTATACAGTAAACAAATTTTTCCAACTTTTATATTACTGTATATTTTATAGTCAACTTATATAAATATAATTATCACTATCAACAACGAATCTAGATAACAGTTGAAATAATCTTTCGTTTTATCCTAAACAAGTATTTCACCTATTATATAATACATATATGCCCAATTACAATCAATAGAGTTTAGATAGAACTAAAGTGATATCGAAGTCATTTATTAAATATAGTTTTTGCTAATTATAAGTATTTCACCATTTTGAATAAGATTACAAAATATATTTAAAGTTAAATAACGTAAAGTGAGTTCAAGTTATTCACGAATACAGTATTTAATACGAAATTGAAAAGATTTTATTACGATTTATAATTAGTTATAAATTGACTATTTTTATTATTTACATATTGTATTATTTACGTACTTTCATATAATACTATAAAGAAAAAAAATATCGCATGTAATATAGTTTCGAATAAATTTGTGACTCTATTTATTATAATTAGACATGTGCATTTTAATTAATATAAATATGTATATTCTCTCGATAAACTAATCTTTTTCTTCCTTTTTGATGGAAGAAAATTTACGATTATAGAATCATAGTATTTTAATTTATATTAAATTGACTTCGAGATGATTACTTTGAAATATTATATACAATTTTTTTATAAACTGCCTATGTCGTTAAATCGTTTTAATTTCTCCGGGAATACATCTTTAAAGAGTACCGGATCTGCGCGAAATTCAACTGATTCCAATGGCATAGTTCCATAAATAGAAGAAAATTTGTTTATACACTGTGTACGTTCCACCATATGCGTCAAATCCGCAGATAACATTTCAGTATTGGTACACTCGGGACATCGGAATTTTTTCTTTGGTGTTACCTATAAGATTTTATATAATTTTTAGATAATGCCAGTACATTGACCGAAAGTCTTACCTTTAATGGAGCTTTTCCAGTAATATTTGCTACCAAAAAATTCATTGCGATATCCTCGCAATTCATGTGTTCATCAACCCATTCCTTTATGTCTCCGGGCATGGCTGTAGTATACATGTAATTCCAATACTGAAAGATACATTGAGAAAGACTTATAGTTTTATACGAATTGTATAATTCCAATACTCATACAAAAAATAGTGTAATTTACTTTGTTGGATTAACTTATATAATCTTTGTGAGGATAACAGGAGAGGATGTTAGTTTTTTGAAAAAATAAAATCCTAGGAGTTTTATAATAATGTGCGGCCTGAAATATTAAATAAAAATGTTAGGTACACAAAGCAATAATGCGTCCAATCTCTTGAGCAAAGAACAGTATAAGTGTTCGTAGTATAAGCTTACTTTATGATGAAAAGCTGCTCCTGTTAATACCATAGAAATACTGTTCGTCCATTCGCTTTCATATTTCCAGCAATTAGTACCATTATCCCACATATGTAAGCGAGATGGAAATCCAACGATTCTATCTGGAAATTCCCTCCATACCTAACAATTTATATGTTTTATTAATGTATATCTTTGTTCAATTGTTATTAGAAAAGATAATATAAATATACAACATGTATGTAACATATTATATGTGTATATATTTTTGGGACTACATAATTATTTCAAGTATACCTCATAAGCAAATTCTACTTCATCAGCAGTCAACATAATAATATCATCATCTATTGATAATACTGCTTCGGTTTCAATCTCATCATATGGATAAAATCGATTAGATAATTTATTTTCTTTCGTTTGTATTACTTTTAATGGCTTACTAACTTTCGGCCATCTAGTAGCTATAACATTAAATTAGTAAAATTAACGTATGATGTGTAATGTTTGAAGCAGACACTCAAGATGTTAAGATATAATCTTACAATGTGGTGGATCTTTGTGCTGATTATTCCAAATTACTAGAACTTTGGACAGACTCGGTACCTTCACGAGTTTATTAATCAATAAGAACAATAACTCCAATCTGTCATACGTTAATATTACAGCAGTAAAACCACGCGTTTTAGGAGCAGTCACTGGTAAAAAAAGTGGTGAAGGCTTTCCCTGTATAAAAGAAACAATTTGTTTGATTCACGAAAGATTTGAGTTTTCTTGTTTTAGTAATGATCCACCTTATAGGATGGTACATTCCAATATGTATAATCTCGTGTCAAATGTGGAAATACACGATCCGCAAGTATTTCTAGTGTAGTTTCGGTAATCTTCTCCATTGAACTAAAATAATGATTATAAAGCCATGCATTTTGTTCTTGCATGTCCATAATACGTTGAGGAGATATCTTTTTTAGCAGTTGTACTGTTAATAAAATGTCAACTTCACGTATAAAAACAGCAGCTCTGATATAATAAGAAAAAATTAGTATATATTGAAAAGTAGTGCAGCAGATATTAATTTATTATATAAATGCATCTTACTTGGTCCAATCGATTACATCATGAAATGGCATTATGAGAAAATCAGCTATAACCACAGGTATACAACCAGCAGCCATTGCATCCAAAAGCACACTTTGGGCAAGTCTAGCGCCACGGATTATTAGACAAAACGTTCCAGTCTAAAAGAACATAAAGTACCTTCAATTATATTATATATTAATAAAGAAAAATATTTTGCATGTGTATTAAATATGATTTTATTACTTGTAGAGTATCAGGATACTTGTATATATCCTCTCCTATACAACGTATTGTATTATTCATTGGATTAAAATGCAGACATGGACCTAGTACCAAAATGTCTTTTGGATATGTTGTTTTTATTTCCATTAAATCTTGCTCAAAAGCATTATTAATGTTGATTTGTGAAGATATTACTAACCATATTCTGAAATAGAAAATAATTATACATACATACACATTTTATATATATGCGTGTAAAAATATATAAAACAATGGAAGATATTACCTCATATTACTATGATTCGTTTTCAAATTATTTACAAGTGGACTGTAAATTGGTAAACTAATGTCAAAGCTAGGTCTGTATGTCAATGATGACATTCCAGCACCTGCAATTATTGCTCTTCCTACTGGTACATCAATGATAGTGTTGTAGTCTGGTACAGTTCCAGGTACCATGTTAAAAATTAAATGATTTTCTCCTTTGTTCCAGAAAGGTAATGTTCTTAGTGCCTGAGAGACTTCTTGCAATCTCAATCTATTCTGATTGAGAGTATCAATGGAAGGAATAAAAATACAAGCTTCGTATGGATTAGGAGTATAAAATTTACTGTTGATAATAGCATTCAGAATTTGATAGAATTCTTTCGTCATCTGTCCAGTTATCGATCTACCCATGGAGTCCAAGTATATTTTGAGTGGATAAACATATACCAGAAGTTTGTTCCCCTGGCTGCCACATCGGTACACATTGAAACAAGTGAAATATGTGCAGGAAGAATTGGTTACATCTGCAGTACTCGAGTCAGCAGGTAATGTTTGAATAGGTAAGGTATTTATATCATTCAACGTTATAGGAACATGTTCGGTATGTTTTTGCGTGCTACCAAATTTAAAAATATGATATACTGAAATCAGTACAGTGAATAATGTAAATGACAATAAACATATCACAAAGATATTGTGATAATGGTATGAGACTCTGTTGGCTTTATGTGATATACGTGCTGGTAATACCATCTCTTTCTCTTTCTTCTCACAAGATATTGAAAAATATTTTGTTTTATAAAAATCTTATACATTCAAGTATATAAATCTTCCTTGTAATAATTTCAAACACATTAGCACAGAATATACGAGGAGAGCTGTCAGCTAGCATGTATAAATATTTATCTCAGTATGTATACAATTAAAAATTCTCATTATTAAAATGATACTCCTTCTTTTTTATTAAAAAAAATTGCCAATAGACTGTTGATGTAAAATTAATAATATTCATAATATAAACACGATGTATACATAAACCTCTGTCACACTCTTCAAATTTTTCAGCTTCTGGCTTCTGCTGAGTAGCGAGTACTCAGCTGCTCAATCCTCAGATCTGAAATTATAGTGAGGTTATGTTCGTAAAGTATGTTCATTTTCTTTGTAAACTGCTTTCAGTATAAAGGTCAATTCACAAATAACCGTATACAGCGTACTGATAAATGGTTTGCTCTTTTTAACTAAAATTTTTTTCTCCAGTAAAAAAGAGGAATCGTTTAAATTTCGATAAAAATACATTCAATTAATGTATTTTTTTCGGTAAAAGTAAAACAGGTTTGAGAAAAGAAAAAAATCTCAAAATATAAGATCGGATATTGAGAATCGAGCATTACGGGCATAACGTCGTATG